GTGAGTTTTTGGTTGTTGTTTTTGTTGGGTTTTTTTGGTACATGTTTCAACTTCTACGGCCTAATCCCAACTTGAGTAGATAATAAATGAACAAACAGAACAAGAGATTAAAATAATCTCCCATCAGCAACTGAACAAATATTCATTCATTCATTCATTCATTCATCCAGTGCCAGATCTGCGAAAGACATCGGCGATCATGGTTTTTCCTTTCATTCCTTTGCTCGGATGCTCTAAAAAAAAGCTACGTTTCCCTGATCTTTCCCTGTTACCCGTTTGTTTAGGTTCCCTAATGAACAAATAATAATATACGTGAGGAAATATTGGTGTTTTATTACCTGTGCGTGTGCATGCACATGAACTAATCTCTACTTTTATTATTATTATTCAATACGTTTATTGATTTTGTCTGTCGTGACCTGTATAATATTATTTTGATTTCGACATTGTTTATGAACTCCGTCCTTAATATTGGTTTTTATTTTTGTAAATGCAAAGGGCTCTTGAGAAAACTTAACAGTCACACTGGCTACCTTCCTCTGTCTCCTCGGTCACTTTCATGTAAGCACATGTTTTACATCTAGGTTTTTGAAAATGCTGATTTTGAGGCGGGGTAGATGGGTTTATTGGAGGTAAGGATGTGGGTGTTACTGCTTTAGTGCGAGTGAGGAGGTTGCCAGTATTGGAAGGCTGTAGAAGTGCAACCAGAAGGGGGTGAGGGAAACAGGCTTTCACTTTATCTTGTTTTTCCTAAATGTTTATATGTTTGTCGAGTATTTTATGTACATTGCGTAGTTGTTGGTAAAAGGTTTTTACGATAAATGGTCTTTTCTGTTTGGGCTTAAGGGGTATCAAGGTCAGAAGGTTTGTACCATTCAGTTTGCTGACTTTCTTGATAACTGATAACGGTATCCCCTACTATCCGTTGTTTATAAGAATTTCACGTGAATAAATACGGCGGAGTCCAAGTGCACCAGTGAAGACCACATAATGGAATACATATTTGGGATGATTTGAAGAAGGAGGGATGTAACGATCAGAGTCAGTAGTCTTTTTTTTAAATACAGGTCAGTCTCAATTTTGTTATCTGCAATGAGAAGGTACTGATCCAGGAGGAAAGAAGGGGACTTTCCTTGGCTGGGCAAAGAAAATTTGATGATTTTGTGCACCTTGTTGAGTTGAGTGAACAAGTTCAGGGTTGTTTTCGAGCAGCCATTGTGCAGGGAGATAATGTTATCCATGTAACGATTGGTTGGTTGGGAAAAGGGGAGACATATTTGCTCCAAAATTCAGTCATAAAAATGTTGGCTCCGGAGGAAGTAACTGGGGTACCCAAATCTGTACCGGCCAGCTGAAGAAAATTGTGATGAAAAATTACTGAGGATAAGTACTAGTTTTTAAAATTTGCAAATTTCTACAGTTTGACGTGTGTTGTAGGGTCCAAGGCTTCTGAGGGCTGAGCGGCAGGCCTCAATACCTTCTTGATGAGGTATGTTGTTGTACATGTTGACCACGTCCATAGCCAGAACGTTGGTTTCTGGAGTAAGGATGTTTTCAAAATAAAAAAGATGGGCTTCTATTTTTTGGAGAACGTTGAGTTTTTCTTTGACCCAGTGTAAACTACAGAAGTCAGGGACGAGTGGTTTGAGATGACTGTTCAGCAAAATAGGAAACTCTGACGATGAGACCATTTACGTGGGATATAATGCCTCTAAATGGGGTGGGGGAGGGGGCGTTTGGAATTGTTGCTTGGTAACTTGTGGATCTTGGATTGACCAAGAAACTCATCATCATCATCATCATCATCATCATCATCATCATTATCATCATCATCATCATCATCATCATCATCATCATCATCATCATCATCATCATCCTCATTAACTAAAACAACAACAAAGCATCAATAATACACAATAACAAATAAACATACCGAAAGACAAGGGAAAATACACGCTTTGAAATCATGTTCTCAAAAAAAACCTTCCAGAAATCTGGGCCGCCAGCTAGACAACCCAGTTGGTTTTTCCGTGACTGGATAACTGGATTTATGACCGGTATTTTTCCCACCTTGAGAGTTTCTGTTTTGTGACAGTTTGAGGGTCACAAATTAATACAGACAACAGATGTCGAAATTTCACGAATCTCCCAAATCTTGCACAGCAGGTGATTAAATGGTTGCGATTCTTTGACAAGATGCAGCTGAAATTGTCCTAGACAACGACCAAGTGTCGAGGAGAAAAGTGGTTGTCTTAAACAGCTAGACGTCTTAGACAGCGCCTTTCTAATGTAAAAAAGCGCAAGTGAGAAATGAGAAGTGGTTGTTGTACAGGTGATTGTCTCAGAGGGAAGGCTCGACTATTTTTTACAAACTAAGGTTCACCACTAAAAGCTCTCCTGGGATTTCGCTGGTCTGCACTTGGGGGCGCCCGTTGTTGGAATCACCCATGAGGCGTTCTTGAGCGTTGGAGTAAGATTATTTTAATTGTAGTTGTAATCGGTGGTGTTTTATACCCTCATCGAAACAACTGAGATTTTAAAAAAAGATGAGCTTATTTTACACCGCTTGTCAAGGCCATGAGGGAAAGTACAGCGTTCGAGAAGAAAGATGTAGTGGAGGGTTTCACGCAGAATTACAATAGGTAGAGCAGCCCGCCTCCTTAAATATTTACATTGTGTAAACGATGGAGAAAGCCATTAGCCATTCTTTAAAGATATCAATTGAATTAAATAATAAATGTTAATGTTGAGGATTTTTTTTAAAGGTTGAAGGTGTTTTAATAGCACTTTCTCTCTCTCTCCCCGCCCACTTTCTCCCTATCCCCACCACCCCTCCGACAGATAGATAGATAGATAGATAGGTAGATAGATAGATAGATAGATAGATAGATAGATAGATAGATAGATAGATAGATAG